TCAAGGGAGCCCTCCTCTGAGCACCCTCCTCCCCATACTAGGTCAGTTCTCCTTCTCTACACACACATAGCACTCTGTCCCATTCCCTGGTAGCACCAAGCACACTTGCAAATTTCCATCTATCTTCAAGCCTGGTTCACAAAATCAGAACAATCCAGCTAATCCCTAGACTCAGGGGCAATAATTGTTTTAAGCCACCAAGTTTTGGAGCAGGGGAAGAAGAAAAGTTACAGAGGAAAAAAAAAGAAGGTGAAAAATATATAAAACACTGTCAAGTAAGAGGACAAAGATTCAATGTTTAGCTTCAGAAATAAAGAACTAGTGTTCATCAAAGAAGTTACATGAAGAGAGTTTTGGGTTCAAATTAAAGCTAAGCTTACTAAACAGCTGAGTTTTTCAAAACACCAGCAAGAAGTCCTTGTCATGGCCCACATGGTTGTTTTGAGAAACAAGAATAAGAACATGAGATTTGGGAAGCTCAAATTTTTAAAATGTAATATATTAGTTCTAAGTACATAGATATCTTTCTTTCTAAATCTGTACAATTGCAGGTTGAACACCATAGTCAAAAATTCAAAATCTGAAATGCTCCATAATCCAAAACTTCCCAAGCACTGGCATAATGCCAGTACTAGAAAATTCCATACCAGATCTCATGGGACAGGCTGCAGGGACACTAAAATACTGAATAAAATCAGGCTATGTGTCCGTGGTATTTATGAAGCATACATGAATTTCAGACTTACGCTTTGGTTCCATTCTGAAGATGTCATATTATGTATATACAAATATTTCACAACTCAAGAAAATTCAAAATCTGAAACACTTGCCACCCCAAGCATTGGCATAGGGTATATATACTCAGCCTGTACGGCTCTGCTCACCTCTGACAGAGGATGTGCGGTCCCGTCACTGCAACACCTGGGAATAAATTCCCTCCTCACAGTGAATCTGGGACCCAGTTACTACTCAAACATGGGCCCATATTTCGCGAGCAGAACCTCAGATGCTCCTGTGCCTGTGGGGCCACAGATTATTCCTAGACTGCACCGAGTGATTCACTCCCAAACTAGCTTAGCATCCAACCAGCTGAAGCTGGAGCCTTGTCTTGACCTCCTTCGCCTTGCAAAGGACCCTGACTCCTGTCTGGCTCTTAGAAGCAATCTCCACAAAAATTAGAACTTGAGTCTCATGTCACTCTAGCTGTTACCTTTAATCTCACTTCCGTCTAGGTAGCTTTCCCTGGAGCCAGATACCTGCACCAACCTGGCTATGGACTTAATTACTTTTTCTAAGTTTTATAGATTTACTCATTTATTTGAAAGGCAGAGTTGCAAAGAGAAGGAGGAGGGAGGGGAGAGAGAAAGAGACAGATCTTCCATTTGCTAGTTCACTCCTCAAATGGCCCACTAGCTGGGGTTGGGCCAGGCTGAAGCCAGGAACCTGAAACTCCATCTGGGTCTCCCATGTAGGTGCAGGGGCCCAAGTACTTGGGCCATCTTCCACTGCTTTCCCTGCTACATTAGTAGGGAGCTGGATCGGAAATGGAGCAGCTAGGCCTCGAACAGGCACCCATATGGGATGCTGGCATTGCAGGAAGTGACAACCCACTGTGCCACCTCAGATATATCTGCTCAAATATATCGTTCGTGATTCAGCTGGGCCCTTCGAGCAACAAGGGGAGACTGAATTGGTGCTAATTATCCTGAGATGGGCACAGTGATTGGGATTGTTCCTTGTTGGGCACTGCAGTCCTACATCCGGTCTGCTCCTATAACCCCACCACTGACAACCACTGAAAGACCTCTGAGTCGCTTCTCACAACTATGAAGTCCTCACACATCTAATGAAGAAGTACTCAAGGGTTAGGTCAGAGCTATTATTCATTAAAAAGTAAATTGTAAAGTATTCCACATAAGACTCAGTGTTATCTTATAATTATCTTGTAACTATCCAGTCCTTTCTTCCTGAGTTGCTGCTATGTAAGGAAATACTTTGAAAAGACTGGACCTCTCAGAGGCTTCCAGGTCCATTCAGGCAAAGCCCTGAAGATATGTGGATTTCTATAAAAAAAAATGAAAATTAGGTAAAAAATCCTATTTTCTACATGAATCTCAGTTATTGTTTGGTTTAAACCTTCCTCTTTATCTACAAAGATAAAGAAGCAAAAGTTGTATCAGCTGGGGGATCTAGACCCATCCAAAGGAAAAGAGGCAAATAAATCATTGTATTGTATTTGCTCTGTGCCAGGCTTGGTTCTCAAGGCTCAACCGTGTCATTTATTCTCATGGTAAACTAATGAGGTGAAGGCTGTGACGGTCCCCACCTAACAGATGAGGAAGACAAGGCAGAGGTTAAGTAGTGTACCCACGGTCTTGGAGTCAGGATGTGGAAAGACAGGAAGCAGCTCCAGAAGTCTGATCCAAAACTCTGTATTTCATATAGATGCACCAGCCCTTGCCTCCCCAGCACTCCTACTTGGCATTGCAGAGATGACATGGAGCTTGGTTTCCAGACAGATTCTCTCCCCGTCACTCAGAAACTCCCATCTCTGGTGCACATGAACTTGGATTTTCCAGTTGTGCTTGGCTCTGGCTCCCAAGAGAGAACACAGCAAATTGGGAAGACTAGAGTGGTCTGCTGCCCACTCCTGCTAATTAAACTCCTCCAACTGACACTTTTTGGCTGGCTCCAGTAGGATATTATTTTTAGCTTGTGAAGGTTAAAGGGGAAGGGAAGTGTGCCAGATTCAGGATGTCAGAGAGAGAAAACGAGAAAGGAGCTCAAAAAGATGCATTATGGTTATGACTCCATTTAATAATAAGAAGGGGAAATTGAGAGTCGTGGCCTGCCTCAAAGGCTGTGAGGATGGTTCCTAAATTCTGTCAACCTCCTTAACGGCTCTGCCACATTTCAATGACTGGAATATTTCCCTGCGCACACAGTCCCAATGGGACAGCAACAGCAGATGTTAGAAGGATCCAGAAGTTTCTTTTGTTCTTTTCATCTTATTTTAATACTATTTACTGGAAAGAGGGAAGACTGATGCTTTGCAGGTTAAGATGGAAGTCACTTGCCATCTTTTCCACCCCTTTTTCTTCCACGGTGCTTTGACAGCCCCACCCTGGCCCGTCCTCGGAGGTAATAAATGATGCACTAACATGACCCTGATTGGGAAGCTGGGAGGTTAATATACAGGGCTCCTTCTGATAAAGACCAGGCCAGGCCCTGCACAGCTCAGCCAATTGATAAACTCTGAGCTCACGCAACCACAGGAGCCCGTTTGAGGTTTGTAGTCTGCGGTTCTGCCTCCCAGGACTCCATCCATCTCCGTCGGTTTCACTCTTCTGCACCTTGCCTCTTTCTTCTTTCAGCCCCTCCCTCTCCGCTCCTGTTCCAGTGATTAAAGACGCACGATCCCCAGCTATTTAACAGCAGTTCTGTAAGCTGTCGAAGACTGGGCAGCTCAGTCGTGTTAAGCTGAGGCATAAAACCTTGCAGCCCTGTGATACAAACCATGAAACCCTTAAGACTCAATTCACAGGAAAAAAGAACTTTTTTGGCCCTGTTCTTCAAGTGATTAATAGATGTCATGGCTTAGTCTGACAGCAAAGGCTCTGCTGTGACAAGCGAACAGTTTTGCTCCTGGACAAAGAGAGAAAATGCTTGTGACACTCGGGAGATCATTTATTCTCCGGAAGAGCATGCTGATGGAATTTTCAGCATATGCAATAAACATACACAGTAGTACTGAATTAATCTACTGGTATTGAAAGCAAATGAGAATTAGAATGGTAATGGATAACTAAGTGGATTAATTGAGAGTGGGTAAGGGCTAAGTCTAAATTTGATTCTTGATACAAATTACTTATGCTACGGTTGATAAACCCTGATTAATGACACCTGTGGGGCTAAGGGGGCCTCCTAGACCTTACTACCTTTAATTGACCTTAGGTAAGCCTTGTCACTCTTACAAATATAGGTCTACCCTTGAAAAATGGGGTTAATAGTAGTTGCTTCCAGGCGTTGTATGCAAGATGCCATGAGAATGTGCTGTTCAGCTCTCAGTGCAGTGCCTGGTATAGAATGAGTCCTCCCCTAATATTAGCTGTTCTTATTAGGTCACTCATGAACACGAGGATCAGGGAGAGACCTGAGCCAAGACCAAATCCACAACATCATATGTGGCATGAGGTTTGCCTTTGCTTTGCAAACCTCAATAAACCAACTGGCTTCCAACAATCAATGAGTACAGGACACACACACTGGTTGTCTTCAGGTGAGATAGCTGCTGACTGTTGATATATGACCCCTCATCTATGAGTAGCTGCCTATTTAAAATATGCTCCCTCCAAAAGTAAGGGATTCATTGAGAAGGTACTGTGTAGACAACAATTTTAATAGTGGGTGGTTGCTTCCCCTGTAATGCGTTTAATAGTAAATAAAATAATAGTGTTATTAGTTCTTATCTCCTAAGGGAATAGGAAAAATGCTTTGACTTGAACATTATGAAGGATGCTAAGTCAAATGTTCGGTAGTGTGAGATGACTGTGCCCACCCACCCATCTCCCCAGAACGTTTGATAATATCAAGAGACATTTTCAATTGCACAACTGGGATGAGGGGAGTTGCAACTAGTATCTGGTGGATAGAGGCCAGAGACTGTACTAAACGCCCCAGGAGAGTCTCCCACAACACAGAAGCATCTACCCCAAATATAACTTGTGCTGAGGTTCAGAAACTCTGATCTAACCACACCCAGGGGGCTGGGTGGGGATCCCAGATCTTGCAATGGAACAATGACTGGTCTATGAGAATGAATGATTAGATAGAATGTAAAGCACTGGCACTGGACTGAAACAAATTGTGGTTAATAATTCATCTGAGAATTCTTTGTCAATATTGTAATTCTTGATCAATTTCATTTTTAGAAACTATTTTTCCAAATATGAAATGCAGAGTGGTTTCTGCACTATCTTGATTTCTAAGGCTGCCTCACAGGGTTCCTCTTATATATTCTTCTGAAAGAAGCTCAAGGCTCAAGGTTGAGCTAATGCTATCTCCATCGTTCCTGACAAAGGTTATTCCCACAAGCCCCTTCACCTGTGCCCCCCAAAAGAAAAGAAACTCTTTGCTAATATTCCATTCACCCTAACTTCAGTGTAAAGAATTTCTTCCCCTGAATTTGCTATGAGCATGGCTCCTAATCCAAGGATAGGATTTCCCCAATAACTGCCAAGGTGGAAACCAAAACATTCCAAAGTACACGGAACAAGGTATAGATCCATTCATTGTTTAGTTTTCTTGCCTTTCATACCCACAGAATACACTTTGCCCATCTGAGAAACTCATCAGTAAGAGAAGAGACTTTAGAAGCACTTCCTTGAAAATGGGGCATATTTGTTGTTTTTGGAAAATATTCGCCTGGAAAAGATCAGATCCAGTGGAAGGCTAAGCTGCTAAAGTAAAATCACATGATGCTTTGATTTCAGAGGCCCTTGGTTAGAATTTGGCTCTGCCCTACCTCTGTGCCCACGTCTGTTCCCTTGGGTCAGTCAAAGCCATCATGTGGCCCTGGGGCCCAGGGAGGATTTGAGTAAAACGGGCACTTGTTAAATGTAGATTTGAGCCAGGAACTGTGCAAGGTGCTGCAGAGACATCAGTTCTTCCAGAAGAAGTTCAGTAGCTGCCACTAGGTTAGTGTGAAAAAAAAGAAAGGATGGATACTTGTTTAAACTAACATAAACCCAGGTCTGGATTAATGAGTATTTAAAAAATGTCGATGCACTCTAGCAGTTACTGTCTTATTTACATATTCTCCTTCAGCCTATTCCCTTCTTTACAAGGCTATGATTTTTTTTTTTTTTGTATCAAGGCCTCTAATAAGCAAGAAATTTGTGTCTGTTTACCCCCATACCTAGAAGAATACTTGGCTTATAAACAGGTCCTTGTAGGTTCTTGGTGAATTATTATGGCCTTTTAATCTCAACATGGGTGGGTATTTCACACATCACTATGTTGATTACTGGGCAAGACCTCACATCTACTTTGGGGGAATCATTTAGGGGAAGACAGAGATTACCTACCGGAGCAGTGCAATGATGACATTGATAATAATCATGACAATAATATGTAACATCTATTGAGCACTTACCTTATTCCAGGCATTGTGATGTGTTTAGAGTTTAGGTTAACACTTTGCAGCTGAAATTCTGGAATTAAGTAGGCTCTAGATCCAACCCTCAGTTGATTTATGGTTCTTTCCAAGGTCAGAGCCACATTTCCTTACTTTTATGCCTATAAGGAAATCAGAAGTGAGATTTGGCACCAAAAATACAGCAAGCATTTCACTAGGTGCTTTTCCCCAAATAATTCACCTCAAATAACCTCTTTGAGTCACATAGATTTGATAAGACAATAATAACAATTCCATACAAACCTCATAATTAGAACAACAAATCTATTGAACATGGGGCACTCACTCAATAAATATTTACTTAGTGTATACAGGTGCTGGACAACATCCTGACACTAGGCCCATGCAGAGAACTAGGCACAAAAATTTTCTGCTCCTAAACAACTGACACTCCAGTGGGAAAAGATAAGAAATTGAGAGAGAGAGAAAGGGAACATAAATGAGATTATTTCATATCATAATAATCTCTGGAAATAAAATTAAACAGGGTTGCTTGATACCCTCTTAGGGTAGCAGAGCCAACTGAGAAGGGATGACCAGAGGAGGCCCACAGGGGAGATAATATTCCAGCTACAGGAACAAGCCTTGCCAAGATGGATGGAAGACTACTCCAGAAGGAGGGATGGATACACGGAGAGGGCCAGAGGCAGAAGAGTTTGGAAGTTCAAGAAAAATAAAGGAAGCCAGTGTGGTTCAAGTGCAGCAAGGTGACAATGGCAGAGAAAGGACAGAGAGGCCAGTAGAGGACCAAGCACACATAACATGGCAGGCCACACTAAGGAGCTCAACAAACGTCCAATTGACACTTTGACATGTGATGACTTTGAACAGCCCTTGGCTCGACTGTTGAGAAACAGTTTTTTTTTTTTTCTTCATACTATTTGTTGAACTCTTTACTTAGTGTAGAGTTAATCTTATGTGTATAAAGTTAATTGAAAATAGATCTTAGTAAAAAATAAGAATAGGAAGAGGAGAGGGAGGAGGAAGAAGGTTGGGAGTGCAGGTGGGAGGGCGGGTAGGGTGGGAAGACTCACTATGTTTCTAAAGTTGTATATATGGGGGCCAGTGCCGTGGCTCACTTGGTTAATCCTCCACCTGCAGCACCAGCATCTCATATGGGCACCGGGTTCGAGTCCCGGTTGCTCCTCTTCCAGTCCAGCTCTCTGCTGTGGCCCGGGAGGGCAGTGAAGGATGGCCCAAGTGCTTGGGCCCCTGCACCCACATGGGAGACCAGGAGGAAGCACCTGGCTCCTGGCTTCAGATCAGCACAGCGCTGGCCGTGGTGGCCATTTGGGGAGTGAACCAATGGAAGGAAGACCTCTCTCTCTCTCTCTCTCTCTCTCTCTCTCTCTCTCTCTCACTGTCTATAACTCTACCTGTCAAATAAATTTTAAAAAAGATACTAAAGTTGTATATATGAAATGAAGTTTGTGTACCTTAAATAAAAGGTTTCTGGGGGAAAAAGCCATTGCAAGGTCAAATAAGAGCGTGAGCTGGTCCTATTAAAGTGGTAAAGGGATCACCTAGGTGTTCTGCACCTGCTTTCTCAGACAGCCCCCCATGAGAGTTCCCATTCGTCATTCCAAGGGCCATCATTTGTTTATCAAAAACACTAACTGGGGCCTGGCACTCTGCCCAATCCTCAGGCTGCAGTGGTGTATAAAAAGCACCAAGTCCCTGCCTCACAGCTTACAGTCTCCTGAGGTTTACAGTTCCACAGCGGGCAGTGCATTGCTGGGTCCCTCTTTAAGGAAGTTCGAGGACTGATGAGGACACAGCCAGGTCACTAAACCTGGATCTAAAGAGACAAAGGCCTTCAGAAAATGTGCCTTCTAAACGGAGACTCAGTGGTTGCCAGCAGTCACTCATGTGAATGGAGGGGACTGGGGTAAAGACGTGTTTGTGACAGGGGTGGACACTGGGAGCAGAGTCAAATGTGGCTCTACTTCCAACTCCAGCTTCCTGCTGGTGTGTACCCTCAAAGGCAGCAGGTGACGGTTCGAGGACTTGCATCCCTGTCACACACATGGGAGACCTAGATTGAACCCCCATCTCCCTCTACCTCTTTCTGTGTGTGTCTCTAATAAATAAAATGAATCATTTAAAAGAAGCATTTGTGACAAACGAAATGTCATTTTCCAAATCAAGTGGGAAGAGAGGAGACACTTCGGTGAGGACATGGACTGTGGCCTGGCGGAGCAGGACTAGAACAGAGGAGGGGTCAGGGAGAGGACAGAGAGAGGACCGGGCCTCGTTTGGGGCGTGAACCAGGAGGTGGATAGGAAATGCTGAAGGCATTCTTCTGCAAGGCAGGGCCCAGCAGATCCTCATTCAACAGCACCAGGAGGCAGCTTGCAGGACAGAACTCAAGCCCAGGGGCGAGCAGCACAGGAGGCCCCTGTGGCGGCCTGGTTGCTTTAGCACGCAAAGCATTCTTCCCCAGACAGGCTTCACCCACCCTGCAGGGCTTTCATCCAGGCTCTCTGGCTCCCTGGCTCCTGTGAGAAGCCACGGCTTGCCGCTCAGGAACCTGCAGGCAGCTCCCTCCGAAAGGTTGAACTGCGGTGGCTTTCTGTCTGGTGCCCAGATGGAGCAGGAGGAGCTGAAATTGCTGCTATGGCTCCCAAAGCTGCTGGGGAGCTGTTTGCACAACTCAATGGGCCGTGCCCCGTCAGCCCATGCTCTAGCAAACAGCACCCAGATATGTTTGCTTGGAGGCTGTGGTTCAGCAAGACAAGTGAACTAGCAGCAGCTGGCTCAATCTCTAACAGGAGGGAAAGGAGGCAAGACTAACGCAAACGCATATTAGAAAAGGGACTAAGGGCACATGTTCTCTGAAGGCTCATGTATCTTCCTACCATTAATAAAAGAGTAGGAGACCAGGTGGTTACCAGGACCAGCTTCAACGCCATTCAGCCCAAATTCAAATCCTAACTCTGTCACTTCACAGCTCCATGACACTGGGAAGTTTCTTAATGTCTCCATCCCTTAGTTCCCTCATTTGTAAATTGGGTCCAAAACTGCTATCCAGTATGAAATGGCTTACAAGGACGCGGGAAATTAATGAAAGTTAGGCCTTTAGATAAGTGCATGACATACGGTAAGTGTTCATTAAACATTATGTATCATCATTCCCTACTCTATGCTAAGTTCTGAAGATTTAGAAATGATGACAGTGTAGTCAGAGAGGGATATATCATTTATTGATGACCTACTAAGTGCCAAATATTTTGCATATTTTACCATAAGAACATTAAAAACATATTTTTTTTATTTTTGATTGTCTGATAACAAAGTAGACAATGTTTTTCCTAAATATAACACAGGGACACAAATTCTGTACTAGAGGCATGTAAGGAATGATTTCTGCATCAAGTTCTTAGATGTGGAAGGGTACTGAGTTGTGGTAGAAAACTCTTAGACTCTTATGGGGGGGGGAGCCATTGTAATCCATAAGCTGTACTTTGGAAATTTATATTCATTAAATAAAAGTTAAAAAAAAAGAAAACTCTTAGACTCTCTCTCATTGTTGCTCAACTTTCAAGTAGATGAAAATGAATAAGTAAACATTTAAAATAAATAAATGAATAATTGAACTTTAAAATGAACTTTAAAATATTAGCATATTGGAGCAGTTTCACAGGAAAAGCAGTACAAGGAACCTGGGACCCTCTGATGCACGGGCCACCGAACAGGACTAGGGAAATGCTATATGAGCTATTGTTCCTCCTATTGCCATATAAGCAAAATGGGTACAATAACTATTCCCACTTCGAAAGGTGCTGTCTCATTAAGAGACTCGGGATGCAAAAGTCTGCTTTGTATTCTTTCAAGGGTTTATATTCTGCTAATAGTAAAAGCAATACCTCTAAGATCAGAGCTGGAGTCTTTCAGACGCACTATGATCTTAAGGAAAAATATTTTCCCTGTAGCACAGTGCAATAATTTCAACACCTTATTCCAGGGAATTCTTGCTGTTCTTCAGAAATACTCTGGGAAAATTAACGAAGAAGAAGTTCCCCACGTTCAGAAGGAAAGGGCTCCTGTATTATGACAAAAAGAAAATGTTTTCATGACATTGAAGTATCTTTGAGATTCAAAAAATCTAAAAAGAAAAGAGACAGATGGGACTCACAGACTCAAAGAAGGAAGATAGATGACCATCATTCCAGAAAAATTTATCTCAAGGCAGGACTGTGGCTGATGATTCTGCAGGAATGTTCTTAAACTGAAAGAAAGATCAGGAGCCAGGAGCAAAACTATGGAGCAAAACACTAGCAATGAACATGACAATATAAGTAGCCATCATTTATTCACTCCTCGTAAGGTTTCAGGAACCAGATTAAGTGCTTAACATTTATTATCTCATTTATTCTTAAGAACAGTGGGGACTCGAAACATTCAGGGGTCTCATAATCATTCGTTCTAAAGTTGGGAAACAGAGATGGGAATTTCCAATCCACTTTGTAAAAAATTTTTAGAGTAAAGACAGGATCTTTGCATTTTACTCAAGCCCACTCATCCCCATAGCCCAGAAAACTCAGTGCGAAATTCACATATCTCAGTGTGACTGCTATGCCATTCTGAAGGGAGGAGCAACACGGATCCCTGTTGCTAAGGCTAAGTGATCAGGGAGAAGTTAGGACCATTTTCCGATATTCCTAGCACCCTTCAATGCAGAACACTCCCTGCCAATGTCTGCAGTTGGCTATATTCTGCAGCAGCTAATCAACTACAAAACACTCAGATCCATGAGACTGCCATGTGACGTCAGTTTTGTGAATCACACGCAAAACTAGATTAAAGTAGAGACAGCCAGACATGCAGAAAACAAAGGAAATTACAAAATCAAAAAGTTCCACCTATTTTCCAATGTAATTTTAGCCAAAATTATCCCTAACGGACTATCTAGAGAGTCTCACCCATTGTGAGAAATAGCCTTAAAGTCTCCTGTGCCTACAAGAGGAAGATACATCATTAAAAAGGTAATTTACCATTTATTTGTAATGCACTCTTGAATCTTACCAATGCCTTTCCAAATTGACCTCCAACCCCAACTTGTAGAACTGACTACTCCAAGCTTCCTTCAAGTTGATGGTCATGTTGCGTGCTTCTGCATTTAGATAATTGTGCCTTAGGTCAAATTCCATCCCTCTGTGCAAATCTACAGAAAATTGCCTTTCTGAATAACTTGGAGTTAATGTTTTAACTCTTAAATGGCTGATACTTTCTATCAGATACAGGCCAAAAAAAGAATGCTTCTTCCAGATACCTGGGATCTTATATAATTAGGATTTCATTCTTTTTCTTATTCTACTGTTTTATTATAATAGAGTGTTAATATATGATCTATAACATATAAAAGATAAAAGCTATAATACATTTATAATAATATATATGTATAATATAATACAATTTATATTATGTATATTTAAATTATATTGTTATAAAATGATAGTTTTTTAAAAGATTGCTAGGCATTAGTAAAAAACTTGGCAAATATGGTCTGCAGATCTAAGACAGCCCACCACTTATTTTTGTAAATAAAGTTCTATTGGAACCCAGCCATACTCAATCATTGACATGCCGTCTGTGACTGCTTTCACACTACAGTGGCAGAGTGGAGTAGTTTGTGATCTGTTTTGTTACAGAAAAAGTTTACCAGTCTCTGCTTAGAACAGCACAGGAACAGCTATATTGGGATTTTTTTTCCTCCTCATTAAATGAGAGGTTTAAACGAGGATTCCTTTCCTGCCTCCTAATTATTTGATAAGATTCAAATTTGGGGTCTATCCTCATCTAGCAGTACAGAAAAATGTTAGGGTCATGTACCCAAATATGTTAATATCTACAATGATGCTTCATCCAGTCCTTAATTTCTCTAAGGCATCTGCTGACGAAATAATGCCTGTTAGGTTATGCCTACGCTGCACTATATGTGTTCTTTATTACATGAAATCTTTGATGTCAAACCCTTTATCCTTCTCTAATACCCTCACCTATCTCATGATGGCCTCTCTTAACTACTCTGGCACTAGAGTCACAAACCCTAACACTCTGGGAGGGTCGGATGTTCGTGTTTTTTAATATGTTTCCTTCATCAATAGGTCAGGTTTGGTGCATGCTATCGTTTGAGTGCATCCCCCAAAATTCTTACAATGGAACCTTAATTCTCCAGTGAAGTAGTGTCGGAAGGTGAGGTCTAGTGGTAGATATTTGGGTCTTGGGGTAGAGTTCTTTTATGGGACAAAGCTCATTCCCACGAGAGTGGGCTGTCTTAAAGCAGGTCCACCCCGACAGTCTGTTCCTTTTTCATGCATCTACCTGTCCTGCTTTCTGCTGTGCACTGAGGCCGCACGAGGGTCTGAGCAGAAGCTGAGCAAGCTGCTGGCATCACGCTGGTGACTTTTCAGCAACCATCAGCTCGCTTCACACTCATTTAGTTAACTTCTAAGACGAGCCCAAGATGGGTTCCCTTGGGGCTAGATAATTTGAAATTTATACCCAGAAGTGAAAACATTCAGAAAAAGAAGACGACCATCTATTCTGATGCACTCTTCTTAATGTGAGGAAATCTTTCTAGAATCCTCCCTCTGCTCTATCTCTGTGTCAAAAGATCTGATCCCAGTCCCACTTCTAAGCCGTGGGGGAGGGAGTCATTCCCACAACTTTATTGGTCCCTTGAGATAGAACAGATGCTGAGGAGATAATCACCCTGACCTCTCCGCAGCTCTTGATCATAGCACATCCGTGCCTCTATCAAAGAGTACACAACTCTGCAGAATACAAGAACCCATTGGCTGCACTTAATGCTGAACAAGGGTACCCAGTATGCATCTACCTAGAAGCTGGGGTCCCTTGGGAAAGGATTTAGGGTCTGGAAAAGCACAGCTGTGTGCCATGTCCCTCAATACCCAAGACCTTTGCACGTCTACGCATACATTTGAATTGGAGAGGTGATCAATCAAAGACTCTGCCCTAAAGGACTTTAAATTCTAGTGGAGGAGGGCAGACAGAGACAAGACAGAAACAATAAGCACACAATTTAGAAGGTGGCAGGAGTGCTGTAGAAATAAACGAGGGCACCAAGTGGATGAATATGACACGGGATGGCAGCCTTCCTCCCAGGAGGGAAAGCCCTTCTCTTTCCCACACCACTCCCATGGCTGAGTCAACTCCTACTCTCCTTCCTCCTCCCCGAGGGCCCCCACTCTCTCAGATGAACACCTCCTCCTCACCCACAGGACCACAGAGGCCGGTATGAGACAGAGATACAGTGACTCCACTGAAAGGGAGGGCTCATCCAAAGAAGCGAACACTTGCTAGTCTTCCCTTGAAATACAGCAAGCACACAGGAGGACATCACTGCTTTTATAAACAAAGGCAAACTCATCATTGTATTTATATTTTATATTGTCTTCATAGCATCTATGAATTTATTAATGACTTGTATTTATCTGTATGATATTTACATATAAATATCAATATCTCATCAAGTCTCTTTGGAGCACTAGAGAACACATCAGGTTTTTTGTTTGCTTTTTAATCAGTAGATGGTCCCCAAATGAATATATAAGGTGAGCTTTCCCTTTCCTGGGGTTCCATATCTGCGGATTTGATCAACCACAGAAAAAAATATTTGGCAAAATAATTGGGTCCAAACTGAATAAGTACAGATTTTTGTCTTCTTGTCATAGTTCCTAAATGACACAGTATAATAGCTATTTAGTTGGCATTGGCATTGTACTGGATATTATAAGTAATCTAGTGCCGGTGCCGTGGCTCACTAGGCTAATCCTCTGCCTTGCGGCGCTGGCACACCGGGTTCTAGTCCCAGTCGGGGCGCTGAATTCTGTCCGGGTTGCCCCTCTTCCAGGCCAGCTCTCTGCTGTGGCCAGGGAGTGCAGTGAAGGATGGCCCAAGTGCTTGGGCCCTGCACCCCATGGGAGACCAGGATAAGTACCTGGCTCCTGCCATCAGATCAGCACAGCGCACTGGCCATGGCGGCCATTGGAGGGTGAACCAACGGCAAAGGAAGACCTTTCTCTCTGTCTCTCTCTCTCTCTCTCACTGTCCACTCTGCCTGTCAAAAAATAAAAAAATAAAAAATAAATAAGTAATCTAGAGTTGATTTAAAGTATATGGGGGGCTGGTGCTGTGGCGTAGTGGGTAAAGCTGCCGCCTGCAATGCCAGCATCCCATGTGGGCGCCGGTTCTAGTCCCAGCTGCTCCTCTTCCAATGCAGTTCTCTGCTATGGCCTGGGAAAGCAGTAGAGGATGGCCCAAGTACTTGGGCCCCTGCACCCACGTGGGAGACCCGGAAGAAGCTCCTGGCTCTTGGCTTCGGATCAGCACAGCTCCAACCATTGCGGCCATCTGGGAAATGAACCAGCGGATGGAAGACCTCTCTCTCTCTCTCTTCTCTCTCTGTGTAACTCTGACTTTCAAATAAATGCATCTTTTCAAAAAATAAAGTATATGGAGGATTGTACATAGATTATATGCAAATATAATGCTATTTTACATAAGAGACTGGAGCATCTGCGGATGTTAGTGTCTGTGACGAGTGCTGAAACCAACGCCCCTCAGAAACCAAGGGATGATTGTATGTGTGTGTGTGTGCGCACGCATGTAACAAGAGTCACATGGGGGAGGACCCTCCTGTACATGTGTGTGTGTGCATAACAAGAGTCACATGGGGAGGACCCTCCTGTACATGTGTGTGTATGTGTATGTGTGTGCGTGTAACAAGAGTCACATGGGGGAGGACCCTCCTGTACATGTGTGTGTGTGCATAACAAGAGTCACATGGGGGAGGACCCTCCTGTACATGTGTGTGTGTGTGTAACAAGAGTCACATGGGGGAGGACCCTCCTGTACGTGTGTGTGTGTGTGTGTGTAACAAGAGTCACATGGGGGAGGACCCTCCTGTACATGTGTGTGTATGTGTATGTGTGTGTGTGTAACAAGAGTCACATGGGGGAGGACCCTCCTGTACATGTGTGTGTGTGTGTAACAAGAGTCACATGGGGGAGGACCCTCCTGTACGTGTGTGTGTGTGTGTGTGTGTGTGTGTAACAAGAGTCACATGGGGGAGGACCCTCCTGTATGTGTGTGTGTGTGTGTGTAACAAGAGTCACATGGGGGGGAGGAACCTCCTGTACATGTGTGTGTACATATGTGTGTGTATGTGTGTAACGAGAGTCACATGGGGAGGACCCTCTTGTACATGTGTGTGTACATATGTGTGTATGTGTGTGTGTATAACAAGAGTCACATGGGGGAGGACCCTCCTGTACATGTATGTGTATGTGTGTGTGTGTGTGTGTGTAACAAGAGTCACATGGGGGAGGACCCTCCTGTACGTGTGTGTGTGTATGTGTGTGTGTGTGTGTGTAACAAGAGTCACATGGGGAGGACCCTCCTGCACATAATGTTCTTGAATCTTCATCTCTTTGTCCCCCAGAGACTCTCCAACAATGTGTGGAAAGAATTGAGCAACCCTTGGCCCTGCAGGTTTATAGTTTTGACTTCACTCTCTAAACAAGGGAAGAAAAGACTTGAGGCAAGTCTCTATATTTCAATCATCCAGGAAGCAATTCTGGGTGATAATAAGAGAAGAGAGCAAAGAAGGGAAAAACGGGGGGAAATTACTGGCTTGGTCAAAGCTTGCAAAATGGCACCAGTGATTAAAACATCTTATGCTGTCCTCGGGCTGCAGAAGCTATCACTGACAAAAGATCTCATACACACACACACAAAAGGAAAGAAATTAGCCATTAAGAAATATTTCAGCATAATGCAATTATTACAGCTGTATAATTGAATGGAGAAACCATTGATCTGTAGTAGAAAGGAAATTGCTCTTCTCATTGTGTTCCTATGAATATGTGAACATTAATCTCCATCTATAATCAACGTTCATTTCAAATCTGATTGCATGCTACTAAACACCCGTAGCTATGCTAACATTATGTTAATATGGTTCAACATCATAGCTCCCAGCTTCACAGCACAAATATTTTTCTTTGGCAATCAATAGTAATTTCAGCTGAGTGGATGGAAGTCACGTTTTAATGGTAATCTTTCCTCCAAGCCTCCAAGTGGAAACTCAGTTGGTGTCTTAACATGGCTGCAGCACATTGCATATAATCAGATAAATTAACCTGAAAAGAAATGAAGAGAGAGGAAGGAAGGGAGGGAATATGGATCAGAAATAAGCAGCAAGCTTGCCAAAACTCTAAATCGAGC